AAAAAAAAAAAAACAATATAAAAAACTTATTAATTTAGATTTCTCAAAACGCTCACTAAAACTGCGAAAAATCTTAATCAAGGTTTTGCGACAAAATTGCAAAAAAGTTCTCTTTCATTATGCTGATTAGCACAAAAAAATATGAGCAAAAAAATCAAATTGTTAAACTATTTGAAAGAAAAAAAGACTCAATCTAGCAAAAATCAGAAGAAAATTTCAATGCAACTACTTTCTTACAGATATGCATGAACAAGTAGAGCATGATGAATAGGTGAGGAAATTAAGAATTGAAATAACGAAACTTAAACAGATATTTGGTTGCAGTGCAACGTATCAATAGTGGAATTAGAGGACAGACAAGTGACATCTTAAATTGAATACCAAATAGAAATTAACAAGAATTTGTGATTAATGATAGGCGGAAATGAACCATAGATTTTCACAATTATACTTTATTTTGAAAAAAACTTTTTTCCCACGATATTCAGGTGTTCTTTAACCTTCGATGTTCAAATTTAGTCGAGCATTCTCAGAAAAATCAGGCAAAAAATTGTTACTGTTCTGTACATTGATAACCTTTGTTTTATAACCACAAAAAGAATTGGTAAAGTTGGCTGACTACTCAAAAGTACTTAGTAGTTAGAATTAAGAGATAACTTACGCAGTAGCATTATGAAGCATCTGTGCTTAGCTTTTCCTTTTTAACAATTGACAGTTAAATGACAGAAAAAAAAACCAAAAAAGATTTACAATTCTTTCATCTTTGATTAAAATTCAGTTAACTGCCACTATGCAGCAATAATTATTGCATTTTTTCATTAACCTCCTTTCCTCAATGATTTGCTCCTCACTAATCATTTTTGCAGAAGGAAATCTTCAGTGAACTTTATGCTTACATATCCTTATTCTATTTGTGTGACATCAAAATGTCTAACCAAAAAATTGTTTATTTTATAGAAAGTAAAAGAGAATACTCTGAAGACTCCCAATTCACAGAACTAACCGCTATCAAACAAAACTTTTTCGTTTACTTTTTTTCAATTTTCATTTTTTTTTCTCCATTTACCTTTTTTTGCCTCTTTAAATATCTGGCGTAAATATTTTAGCAGTAAGGAAAAAACATTATATATTTGAATAAACTCACTCAAAACATTTCAAAATTTTTTAATCTATTCAAACCACAAGTGTGATTATACTATACATATAAGTCTACTTTTTAGCAAAGTGTAACTAAAAATAACAACATTAAACACCTGGAATCACCAATTACTAGGCTTTCCCAAACACTACTATTTGAACAATTCAGTGTAATCTTTTAGCATATTCTAGGTAGACAAAAGTGATAGCAACAAAAAAATTCAAATACTTTGATCAGTTGAAATATATTTATACAAAATATTTGCAGTAAACTTTTAAACTCTATTCTTTTTGCATTCATTTTTCTCTGCTTTCTATTGACCGGATGTATCACTGAGATCAACTCAGTTTTTTCACAAATATTAATTACATTAGCAAAAAAAAGAAAAATAAAATGAAAAAGATTCATAAGCCAAATACATCTTAAAAACTGATATAACAAAAACGACAACAAGAAAAAAAAACTTGGAAAATTTAACAAAAGAGGAAAAACAAGGAAAGTAAACGAACATAAATATGTATATAAAACAGCAACACAACAAGCATAATTGCTGCTGTGCAATTTTTAGCGCAGTAAGCAGCCCCTGCAACCCAACTGCCTCCCCCTTGGCCCCCGACTATGTTTCGCAGTACACAATTTGTTTAGCTTAAACTTGAAGGAATGTTATAAAATTAAAATGTCTATAATTGTAGCGCAGTTTTGACTCTAAAAGGAAAAAATTGTGAAAAAAAAAAAATGCTAAAAAAAAATTAAATTCCAAAAATCGCATTTTATCAGAAGAAAAGGGTTTCATTAACACGACAATTTTTGAACAAACATTCTTCTATCTTTTTTTTGATTTGAATTATTCTAAAAGAACAAAAAAGAAAAAAAAACAAGAAGAAAGAAAAGAGGGAAAAGCCTTCGCTTTCAAAACCCTCTTCCCTTCCTGTTGTCGCTCAATCCGAAAAAATCTTTTCCAAGTATCTGATCAAACTAAAAGTCCCATTCGTCTATCCGATGAACCAACCAACGACCACCCTGGCCACCACTCCCGCTTCCTCCCACTCCTCTCCCTGCTTCCATATGTTTGTTGTCGTCGGTGGTGTCGCTCCTGCTGCTGCTACTCCATTCTGTTGGTTTCCAGTGAAGGCCACTGAAGTCCATATATAAACTCAACTTGACGCAATCAAAAAGCGAAAAATTGATTTATTTTTTTCACTTGTCCCCCACCCTCCTTCCTTCTTTTACGCCAAATAAAAAGCGCTTTCTTCTTATGAAAAAACATGTTGCTTTTTACTATTTATCCAATAAAAACATCCAATAAACGATGAAATAGTAAAAATATAAACACAGAAAAGAAGTGAAATAATGTTATGAAAAAATAAAGCATAAAATTTTTAAAATTTTCATTTGTATCAAGAACTTAAAAATAACCCCATACATCTGGCGGATGTTCATTTATTTAGATTTACATATTTTTACAACCAAACTCGTTCAAATTGAAGCGTTGATAATGTATGGGGAACTGGAGGGGTGTGGAATAGTCGTCCCAAATTAGGCTATACGAATGACGTTGGCTACTACCTTACAGCAAAGCTACTGAGTGTAGGTCTTTCAAATTCACAACATTCAAGGATCAGAGCTAAAAAAAAAAAAATTTGCTTCATTTTTAAAACAGCCATCTGTTACCGCTACTGCTAATTAAAATTTTAGGCTGTTAAAAACGGTAAACAATTCAAAGCTCGTAAAAGATGATAAAATTTGTCAAATACACCTCTTTATACTACAGCGATAGCTGTAAACCTCGTAGCAACAATAAACGCTGGTACTGTTTCAAAAATTCAGAAAAGACATTCTCTTCAAAAAGAGTCGAGGGGAAGCGAAAAAAAGATGGAATAAAAAAGCTGGACAGCATACAAGAAGGCAAGATCCCAACTTTTGCCCTGTAGAAGAACTTAAGTTGTTTTTCAAGACCTCTAAAATTGAGGATGAGAAATGAATTAGTGAAAAACAAAAGAATAGCATTAGAAACTTTT